GATAACATTTAATTTTTTTTTGCGTAGTTTTTACAACAAATGTGATGATTAAAGAATTACTTCCAGACTAATAAAATAAGCGAAGAGTTGGTACATTTTGGAGGTACAGTTTGTTTGATTGTTTGTAGTTTAAGCACAAAGCTACACAATGGGCTATCTGTGCTCTACCCACCACGGGTATCGAAACCCGGTTTCCAGAGTTTCGTTTTTCTTAAATTCTAAAATTTTTGTTAATCCTTCAACAATGGTTTCCCGTCATTTTTGACGGGCATTTAAATTAGTACCTATATATTTAGTTAAGTGTTGACAAAGTTGCTCACTGTTTTAATAAAACAATACGTGTAGATTAAATATTGCGTGACCATTTGTTTTGTCTACGAACAGGGAAACTGACTAATTTCTATTTTGTATCATCAGGAACGTCGAAAGCCAGCACGGGCTCCGGGGCAAACATCATCTCTCTCTTTTTTTAACATTTTCAAGAATTTATTAAAAAGAAGATCCTAAATTAGGACAGCAACGAGCTCATAAACCAGACAAAATCATAGTAGTAGCCGTTTTTACCTCACAGTATAAGTGTAAAAACGGTAATAAAGTAACAACAAATATCTATTAAATCTATAAAGTAACAAATACATATTAATTATTACTCAAATTATTATTTAAGTCGTTCTTAATGTATCAAGCGTCTATATGCAAAGAAAAGTAAAAAAACTACGGTTTTTATCATTAAATGAAGATATAGCCTAAAGATACTTTGCGGGCTTTACGGCATAACCAGGTTTCATTCGCCAAGGCTCCTGGTCAGTTGCTCTCTTTGCCCTCCCCTGTCGGCGGGCCTGTTATATGAGGTTACTACTGAAAACTTTGTTTGAAAAAATTATTACCTTTTCAAGTCACAGAAGACAAGTAAATTTATAACAGTAGTGATAAAAATATTTCAAAAGTACACTTGTAAATAAATTGATAAGAAAAATCACGGCATTAATTTTTAACATCACAGTGGGAGTTCCGCAAGCCTCATTCCTTTCGCCACTCCTTTATATTATATTCGTCACTAACATACCTTTCCCTGGTCGAATATAGACGTACTTTTTTTTTTAATATGCAGACGGCGCTGCTGTTTGGAGCATATCACGTAATCCGTTCATAGTAGTGGATTGAGTTCAAAAACTTTAGACATAATTACGGTTTGGTGTAACAACTGGTAGATTATGCTTAACCCAGTCAAAAGGCAAGGAATTATATTCCGCAGAAGTTTAAATGAACATTTCAAAAATGCGACAAAATTAAATTTAAAATTAGGTAATGCTGAAATCAGTCTATGTACTAAGGCCAAATTTCCTAGTGTTACATTTGTAAGAAACTTCACTTGGGCAGGATATATATAGAACACTAATGCTTCCATTAGTAAACCTATTAATTATTTAAGATTTATCGCTGGTAAACACAAAGGTTGCAAAGCCAACACAATCTTAAAAATACAAAACGTCTGACAATACTTTTTAAAAACTACAAGTACAAAAAATATAATATTGAAGTTAGCCCTAAGGCTCCCCGGTTTTACTCCTACTAATTACTTTCACAAAGTAAATAACCTACCACCTATAAAAGAACGACTAACTTCGTTAGCATTAAAAATTATTATCGTGAAGCAGTAACTAGAAACATGTTAACTTCTGCCTTTCGGATACCCAGATGTTTATATTCTTCATGTAATTTGTCTCGCCATGTTGGAACACATACATATCACCATTCAATTACATAAACAGCCTAGAAAACACTTACCAAGTAACAAAAAGAAATTTCTTTTTCAGCTTTGGGCACTGGTCAGGTAGATTATTCGGCGCCTGACCAGTGAAAGTGGGTTTTCTCGGGGTACTCCCGTTTCCCCCACCTAAAATTTTTAGCCCTATTGTTTTATCCTCCCCGACGCTTCCGCGCAGGCGCCGCTGCCTGATTTTCTACGCTTAAGGTA